TAACACACATAACTTAACATCAGTACATTACAAGAGAATACTTTATTTTATTTCTAACAGTATGTGGCATATAAGTACTACTATAAATCTGCAATCCGAGGGCACATCCAGGGAGGAGTTTTCCTTGCTGATATCTGGACCACAGGAATCCCCGGCTTTGTGGAGAGACGTCCGTCAGAGGCTGTTTTGTTAGTAACACCTGTCATTTATCTTACTCTATGCACGTTTTCCTTGTTTTTGAGCAGCATCGTCTTTTCCACCGACAGATGGGCTAAGTGGGCAGCTGAGCACAACGGATACTTGGGCAGTGTCCTCCGGAGGGCCTTGGATTCCTACTTCAGGAATGACATGTGTGTTTTTCTTAGCATTTTGCAGATTTGAAATAGCGACTGCCTCAGAATAATGTTTGACCCTTCAAACAGGTTCAGTTCTCTGTTACTTTACATGGTGGCAGCTGAATCTGGATATGCACCTGCACAATTTAACGTTGCATACCTCTGTGAGCAAAACCCGGTGAGCTACTTAAATCAGGTCAGTTGGATAATAAGAAGTGCTTGAAATAATCTTCCGTTCTTTGCCGTTTTAGGGGAGTTTTCTGAGTCCTGCTTCTGCAGCACATTGCATGTGGAGATATTACAACCTCACCATTCAAAGCCAGGACCCTGAAACTCACGGTGAGTCACTCGTTTCAAATGTTTTCTGACTTTTGACGAACCAGTTGTAATTTTTTTAGCATTTCTCCAGCTTTTATCAAGATGGGCGACCTGCTGTATGAGGGGCTTGGTGGGAGGCAGAAAGACTTGCTATCTTCAGCTCAGATGTACAAACTGGCTGCATTGAGAAATAATCCTCAGGTCTTTTTTTCTGTTAGTTTATGCATTAATACGTTTGCTATTACAACTCAGTGTAAATCCTGCTTCATATTGTTTCAAAGGGATGGTACAACCTCGGCCTGCTTGCTGAGGAGAACTACAAGCTGCCTCTCTCTGTACTGAGTGAACTGGGCCTATCTGAGCTGTTCTTTGCAGAGAAGAATCTGCTTCTGAATGCGTTATACAGCAGGTTGGTGCATAGCACTTTTCTTGTGCAGCACTTGTTAAAGTGACACAACTGTAGCACAAATCTGTTCTTAATGTCTCCTTAAAGATGCAGAGATTCAAACAACACAGACTCATTCGTGCCCTGCAGCCTTGCCCTTTTCAGCGTATTTCTGCAGCCATATGGAAAGGATTATGGAGCTGCTATTAAGGTTAGTGTTGGTGCAAACATTACACATGTAAGGGAAATTTGAGGTTTTTACATTTTATTTAAGAAGCCGAAAGGCGTGGGATTCCATAGTAAATATGAAATCCACCTTACGGTTCGGTGGGTTAGTTAAACCAGAAGATCGGATCTTTTTAATGCAGAGATTATGTAACCGTTATGTATTTACTCAGAGACAACAGAATAGAGAGAGTCGAGATTAAAAGTTAAGAATTTTATTACTTACAATTAAACTAGGCTTATTTAAGAACTAAGTGTATAGTGTGACTAAAAATGAATGAGACGGTGAATGGATGACGTGTCATGTAAATCAGAACCAGCAAATCCGAAGAAGCGATTAGTTCTGACGGGAACTGAAGGTGTTGTTTTGGAATAAGCTTGGGTTAGTTTCAAAACCGCATGAGACCCCATCAAGCCGGTGTACTTGCCTTGTGGAAGTCCTCTGGCGAGATCAGGAACGTCGACGTCCAGCGGACCCTCTCTGGATACGTAGCCGGTAGATGCAGCCGCGGTTCCGACCAGACCCGTCTCGAGTTACCTCCGGCACACGACTCTTTATTGGCGTCTGTTCAGACCCAGCCTGGGTCGGTGGAGCTTTTATTCTGAAAGGAGCTGTTGTGGTCGCTGGTTATTATAGCGACTGGATTTCCTCAGCTGGTCGAGGTTCTTTCGGTTGAAGGGTTAAAGGTCGGATTGGCCACTCCGACGCTTGCTCTGGAACGCTTGAACTGGCGTTAGAGCAGACGTGGCGTAGTTTTATACCTTGGAAGTTATATTTTATTGTCGAATGAAAATGACCAAACACCGTCAGAAGCACGCCTCCGTCAGATCTGTAAAATTCTGATTGGATCAGTGAAAAAATGTGTTGTGTCTTTTAACACTACGTGAAATGAGTTCTGTTGGAACATTTAAAGTTACATTACTTATTACATTCTATTACCATAATAAGATAATTAATATTTTATTTTCACAGGTCGGTCACATCGTATTATATTGACTAACACTTTGATGGATTAGCTTTATTAAAATAGAGTTCTTTGATTAATTAAAAGAAAAGAGTTCATTCTTCTTTCTTCTGTCTCCTTGCTGGAACGTAAACAGTTTGGAAGCGAATGCATGACCTTGAAGCTGTTTCATGCACACTGACACTGTCAAACGGAAACAGCTGTTAGGGTAGAAATGGCTCCTTCATCACGTTACACAGAAACCACACCAAGCAAGAAGGACGTGGAAAGAACTAAACATTCAAAGCTGAACATAATTCAAGCTGAGACTCAAACACCGGTGCAGCTTGACAGCATGTATGTGACGACTCACAGCTCTGTATTCATTTGTTCACGTTATCTAATCTCAGGTCTTCACAGCTGTTGCCGTGGTGGCAGCTCCAGCAATACTTGTGTTGGTCCTTGGTGCACTCAGGAGACGGATCCTGTCTTACAACTCTTGACTTAAATCAACCTGAAAGAATAAACGGTTTTCTCCTGTTGCGGTAAGATTTAAATGCTTTGTGTTAAACGTACACTGCTCAATAAAATAAAGGGAATGGCAAATGCCAAACATCCTGCACGGTGTTGGGCTGTAAGCACAACCCCCACCTGTGGACGTCGGACCCTCATACCTCAGCAGAAACATGCACATTTGTGGCTCGCTGGAGGTCATTTAGCAGTGCAGTGCTTCTCCTGTTCCCCCTTACACAAAGGCGTAGGTAGTGGTCCTGCTACTGGGTTGTTGCCCTCCTACAGCCTCCTCCACATCTCCTGATGCTCTGGCCTGTCTCCTGGTAGCTCCTCCATGCTCTGGACACTACGCTGACACACAGTAAACCTTCTTGTTCACATTGATGTGACCAGAACATCAGCCAGAAAGCAGGTACTGAGAGGTGGTGTATGGTCACCACCTGCAGAACCACTCATTTAATTTCCTATAAGGCGCTGTTGGCTATTTCATTTGCAACATGTAAAATTGATTGTCTCAGGAAGTGCTGCTTCCTAAGTGAACAGCTAGATTTCACAGAACAGATTAACATCGTGTTGTTTAGGTTTTCCCTTGATTGTTTTGAGCAGTGTACTTTCCAGTGTCTGATTCAATGCATGTTGTTCATTATTGTTTTATTGTCAGAACATTGAGGTGATCTGATTCTATTTTTGTCTTTCAAGCCATTGCTCATTCAAAGCTCTCAGTTAGGTATTTTGTATTGTGTCGTGTATTCAGATGTTGTCAGTTCTTGTACTTTTGAATGTGAGATTTTTTTTTCTGCAGAATTGTCTGAATTGACAAAGCTCTTCGAATGAGACGCAAAACATCTTGAAGAAACCAAAGGAGTCGAGTAGCCTTCCAACCCCTTTGGGGTATTCATAATCTTAACGTTTCTGTCAAAATGAGGAAAAACTCTAATGTGCAGTCTACTTTTGTACAATCTATTTTTCATTCAGCTTTTTAAAACTTCTCATTCCCTTTCTGAATTATTCAAGTGTAAGTTATTTTTTATTGCAAAACAATAAAGTGTTCTAACACTTGCTTGAATTTTATTAGGCACCACACCTTAAAACAGGGGTGTCAAACTCAAACTCACACGGGGCCGAAATGAAACTCTGGGACGGAGTCGAGGGCCAAACTTAATATTTTTTGAAAAAGTGACGGCAAATTTGCACATTTTCTTTATCAACATATATGCAATTTTGAACCTTTAAATTTGGAAACAAACATATTTCTGCATTAACACTGAATGTGGAATAACCAAATTACACACGAACAAGTCAGTTTTAAATAAAAGGCATCAGTGGTATTCATTACTTGTGGTATAATCAGCATTTTTAAAATCTATTCAGGATTTATGTTTTCTTTATTATTAATTTTTCTTATTTTTTATTCTCCTGTAATAAGTGTCATCGCTGCTGTGACGTCTAGCTTTACCCACTGAGGAACAATAAAGGGATTTTCTATTCTATTCATCTATCTGCAGCCTTTCCACTTCCTGTTTACTGTAGGTTAAATCTTTTCTCACGGGCCAACAACAAAATAAAAATATCATTTTATCTTAAATGAAAATGCAACATCTCACCTGTTAACTTTCATGTTTTGGAGCAGAAAAAGAGCATACAATCAACATATTTAAAGCTCAGTTTGCTCCACTGGTTTACTGTGATGCTCACCTGTTCCAGCCAGATACCTGCATCATGGGGTTGATCTGAGCTGAGGAGGAGACTCCTGTTGTTTTGTTCATCTTCATCATAGGTGCTCACATAGGTTTGTGCTGCTGAACATGTCTGAGCAACTTGACCACGTTGTTGTGTGTTGAGGAGGAAACACAACCACAGAGCCGTGCTGGTTTGAGCGTGTCGCTGCTCGCTGGAATTATATCAGCTCTGTCTGGACGTTAGTTGGAAAACTTTCTCTTTAAGTCGTGAACACATTACTGAGCGGCTAGAATCTCCGTTTCTGGGCTTCAACGTCAGAAAACAGCTGAGTGAACTCCGCGCTGAGTGAGAGGAGTGTAGTTTGTCCGAGACAGCGGAGCTGCAGACACCCAACTACCCCTGAATGCCTCGGGCTGGAAAAAACACAAAGGAAGGGGCGCGTCGCCTCCGCGCTGACGCCGCAAAGCATCATGGGAGTTGAAGTCTTTGCGGTAAAATCGGCCAGCGGGCCAGTTTTAATATATTTTTTATATTTATCTCGCGGGCCACATAAAAATGCTCCACAGGCCGCATCTGGCCCGCGGGCCTTGACTCTGACATATGTGCCTTAAAACAAATCTGGTCTGATTGTTTTATTAACTGTTTTCTTGTGGTTTACTGGTTGGAACACATGCACTACTTTGCTAGTCGACTGCACCCCCTCTCATTACCACTAATTTTGCACCTTTTAAAAAAAATGTATTGTCAATTGAGACAGCGTTAGCTCAGGAGGTAGAGCGGGTTGTGCAGTATTTGGAAGGTTCCAGGGTCGATCCCAGCTCCCACCAGAGAATGCTGCTGTTGTGTTCTTGGGCAAGAATCTTAACCCGCCTTGCTGGCTGGTGGTGGTCGGAGGGAGTGGTGTCGCCAGGTCAGTGCACCCCAGGGCAGCTGTGGCTACGTCGTAACTCATCATTACCAGTGTGTGTGTGTGTGTGTGAATGGTTGAATGACTGATTGTGTAGAGCCCTAAGAATATTAAATACAAATACAGGCAATTTACCATTTTACCAACAGACTAGGGCTAGGCAATAATCAAAAATGTCTGTGAAGGTTCTCAGTCATCCAGGTCATTGTAGTCTAATGAGCTTTGAAAGAAAAGCGTCTGGACTTCTTTGAGTTGCTTGAAGACGTTTCACCTCTCATCCAAGAGGCTTCTTCAGTTCTAAGGTCAAATGGTGGAGAGTCCCAGATTTAAACCCCGTGGGAGTTTCCTCCCAAAGAGGGAACAAAAGACCCCCTGATGATCTTCTACATAAACACTTTGAGGGTGGGTGTGGGTCCTATTCAGCCAGAGTTTCAGGTGAGCTCATTGTGAAACCTGGCCCCACCCTATCATGTGAATTCCTGAGGTCAGATGGCCCAGGATATGCGTGGGCGTTGAGGCATCTGGGAAGGGATCTCAAAACTGGATTATAGATGGCAGACAGTTGGTGTCATAAACCACCGCCTCTGTTCAAAGATGGTTGCTCACAGTGGACATAAATGGCTTCCTTTACTCCTCTTTCAAACCATCTGTCCTCTCTGTCCAAAATGTGAACGTTGGCATCCTCGAAAGAGTGACCTTTGTCCTTTCGATGCAAATGAACTGCTGAGTCCTGTCCCGTGGAGGTGGCCCTTCTATGTTTTGCCATGCGCTTGTGAAGTGGCTGTCTGGTTTCTCCGATGTAGAGGTCTGGGCATTCCTCGCTGCACTGTACAGCATACACCACATTGTTCAGTTTGTGTTTAAGAGTTTTGTCTTTCGGGTGAACCAGTTTCTGTCTGAGTGTGTTGCTGGGCCTGAAGTACACTGGTATGTTGTGTTTGGAGAAAACCCTCCTGAGTTTCTCTGATACACCGGCTACATATGCCTCAACGCCCACGCATATCCTGGGCCATCTGACCTCAGGAATTCACATGATAGGGTGGGGCCAGGTTTCACAATGAGCTCATCCGAAATTCTGGCTGAATAGGACCCACACCCACCCTCAATGTGTTTATGTAGAAGATCATCAGGGGATCTTTTGTTCCCTCTTCGGGGGGAAACTCCCACGGGGTTTAAATCTGGGACTCTCCACCATTTGACCTTAGAACTGAAGAAGCCTCTCGGATGAGAGGTGAAATGTCTTCCAGCAACTCAAAGAAACATCTTGGGAGGTCAGTAGAAGAGAATAACTTATATTTTTGCAGTATTTCTATTTAGTTTTATTTAATTTATGTATTTTTAATTTAATCTAACCTATACAAATACAGATCTACATTAATCTACTATTGCTGGATGGACTGATTCTCAGCTGACCTGGGAACACAGTAGGATTCCCCCAAAAGAGCCTGCCAAGCCTGTGTAGTAAAATTCAGTGTAGTAGAAAATTCCTGAAGAAATTTTGAAAGGGACCTGCCTGCTGGCACAGGATAGTGGCCATGTGTTATAGAGGCCCAAAACCACGAAATTCTGGCGATTAATTGAATATTCTATTTGACAACTTTTAAAGAGCAAGTCACCCTCTACAAGACACTTACTTCACTCCCTCTTCATGTTTGAAAAATGTAACAGATGCTGTTGCCTAGCAGACCGAGAGGGTGGAGCCTCTAACAAACACACACACAGGCTGTGTCTCAATTCAGGGTCTGCATCCTTCGAAGGACCCAGCCCACCCCGCCGACGTGGGCTGGGTCCACCGTCGGCCGGGTAGACCGGATGTTAACAGCTGTGAATTTGGACAGGCCTAGCCTTCATGAATTCCCGCCTCTCCCTCAGCGAACGTTCCGTCGCCTAGCAACCGTGGAACCGCTGAGCAGAAGGGAGAAGGAACTTTAAACGATGGAGCTCGAAGTTTTATTTAGATCTTTGCTAATTCAGAGAAAATACTTTCGACTAGCTGAGCCTGAGCAAAGATGTGACAATAGTTTTTAATACTTTAATTACCAAGTGCACCAAAGTGCACCAAAATTAGTTTTGTCACACCACACGTTTTATACCTCTTGATTGATTTCAATTGTTTTTGTTTTATTCATGTTTATATCTCTTGATTGATTTTTGTTGAAATGAGGATGATGCATGTAATAACTGTATTGTTTATATGTTTATTTACTTTTGATATTTATGACAATGTTGATTTTTTGTAATGAATTAATGGGTAGGCTTAAATAAGTTTAACTTTAGCCTATACCTTTTCGCTCATAAATTATATCTAAAGAAACTGTTTAATTTACAAGAGGAATTTGTACCTGTGATAATTATTATTATGTTCTTTATTAGATAATTATTTTCGTTTTCATGTGTTTTATATGTATTTGTTATGACGGAAATAAATAAATAAATAAATACTTTCTAGGGGTCTTAATTTGACCAAAACCGTTTTATCACCTTTTAAGACTTTAAGACCCAGCAGATACCATCTAGTAAACAATTCTCATTTGTAAACAAAAATAAAATTCAAGAGTTTAAAACAGAACTGATTTTATTTAGATATTTCTTTTATATGTACATGTTTAATCTTTCTTAACCATTTTTTCTAGCAAATTAAAAAGCCTGTCAAAATTCTCCCTTCTCTCCTGTGCCCTCTGCTCTGCCTCCCTCTGCAGCCTCGTGTCCTCCCTGATCAGCTCCAGAAGCTGGTCATCGCTGTCACCTTCTCCTGGATGCCCATTTTCTCCAGAATAGTCTTAACAAACATGTAAGAAAAAAACAGGAAGAGAAAAGATAGAGAAAAGAGGACAACGGGTTATTAGAGGACAACGGGTTATTCTTTTCATGGTTTCGCAGAAAACAATAAACTCAAACGAGTTTTTAAAATATGAGTTATTATTGTACCTCCATGCCACAGCCTCTGAATACTTTGCTCCAGTGATCATGTGGTCCATCTTCGCCCTAAGCTTAATAAAGTCCCTGGTTTTCTCTTTTGTCCCTAAAATACAAACTCCTATTAAAATCAGGGGGAAAACGTAGCGGGAGAAGTACAACACCGAGCGGCCGAACATACGAGCAGAGACCGCAATACAAGCACTTTTACTGTAACATTTCTAACTAATATAACGTTCATGTATCACAAAAAAGTCCTTAACCTAACAGTTTTCAAGTTTATACTTACATTTATATGCGCAATCCTCTCCAACAGCTCTCGCTTCACTGTCCGCCATTGTTTTTAAAAGTTTTTCTGCCGGCCGGCCCGCAAGGCGTCTTCGGAAATGCTACTTATTGAAGGATACACCGGACCCATCCTTCATTCAGGCAAAAAGAAGGCCAGATTTGTCGACCGCATTTGAAGGAGTCTTCGAATTGGGACAGGCCTAGTCGCGGCGCTGTGACGTAACCGGCCGACGAATCCGGCCGACGAAGGATGCAGACCCTGAATTGAGACACAGCCACAGGCTCACAACGGCATTGTGACATCATAATGACCAGTATACAACATAGCATACCTCTTAGCCAATAGTGGTGGCAGATTGAAATTCAAATACAGTGCAGAGTTTTTACCTGACGATGGCGCAACACAGACAGTTTTAGGTAGAATATTTAAATTTGAACTAAGATGCACTGAAGTACCAAACTATTGACTACACGTGTCTGCAGCACAATTAGACACACATTTATATAGTTTATCAGCAAAAAAAGTTGATTTGGGGTGACTTGCTCTTTAAAGAGTGTAACTGCAGTTGCTGTTTATTTCTTCATTTATTTATTTTCCCATTTGTAAGACACTGGGTTGGTTGTGTTTCCTGTAATTTTATTTTGAAAAGCTACATGAGCTGCTCTGCCAGCCACACCCTTGATTTGATGGTACAAGCCAGGTGTGAGGAACACACACAGCCTGGATGAAGTGCTGACAAGCAAGCAGCTAATGGACTGGAAACATTCAATCTTTTGCTAAAGAACTAACTAGTAAAAGGACTTAAAGGAAGACAGATGGATTCCCTTTGTGTTTTAAGCAAAACAGCCAACGAGGTATTTATTTGTCTTTATTTTATTCCTAAAGAAAGGAGGACAGAAGAGGTCCACAATGAAAGGATGTCCAATAAACCCGTAAAAGAAATCACTTGCGTCTGTGTTGCTTGGAAGGAATCACAAAGAGAATTATAAAAGGCTCAATAATTTATATTAAATTGGTGTTGTCTATTTCCGTCTTTCCCATCTATTTGTAGTCAATACATTTTTATGGAAAAAATGTGTTATTTTTCATAAAAATTTTAGGTTTGTATTGTTATCACTCATCTTAGTCCAAATAACATCTAAATATAGCCAAATGTTACGTGCCGTGCCCCTTTTTGGCCACAAGATGGCCCCAGTGGCTTCGGCCTCGCCCGTCTCCCAGTGCCCAGCTGTTTAGTTTAGTTTTATTTGTCATATGCAAGTTAGCACAGGGTCAACATTGCAATGAAATGTGTTTGACGAGCAGCGGTCTCTCAGCAGCATAATACAACAGAAAAAAAGAAGAAGGTGCAATACAGTAAAAGCAAAATATTAGAGAGTTATGCTAAAAGTAAAAGCTTACTAAATAGATAAGTAAGTATAAATGACTAAATATAAATATATCTAAAAAAGTGAGTAGTAACATTAAAATAAAGTAACCAGTGCAGATAAAATTTTACTTGTGGAGCTGCAGGGTAACATCTGTATCCTGTGTTGTGTGTGTTTAAGTTTAATGGTTGAGGTGTCGTATGGCTTGGTGGTAGAAACTGTCTATAAGCTGTCTATAATCAGCAGTAATTACTAGACAGCTGTTAAAGGCTGCTCTCCTGCCCTCAGTCATCGAGAAGGTTCAGGGTAGTGTGAACTCTTAGGAGTTAGCACTATTCTCTTCTCCTCGTTCGTTTTTGATGAATCTTGTTTGCTCGGCTTTGGTATTTGAATCGCTTTGGACATTGGAATTAGATTAGATCGTTTGGCTATTTTGACCTCGGATCGGCTTTGGACTTTTGATTTAGGATCTCCCCTTTTGAACATTTGTATATTTATTATTCTCGGTTTTCCTCCCACCCCCTTCTGGGGTGGCGCTTTTCGTTTTTTCCCCTTTTGATTATTGCTCCTTCGGTTTTGTAGATAGTGTTATAGTGTTGGTTTTAGGTTCTTTGTAAATATCCCTTGGTTTTGTAATAAAATCCTTGGTTTTTTAAGCGACACAGCACTTTGTTATTATTTACCCACACACTAATTTTATTACTCCCCTCCTCATCTCTCCTAGAGAGCCGGGGACATAATACCACATATGATCAGTAGAATAGAATGTATTTCATTAACATGTTCTACTGGAAACAATGTAATGGTAGTATATCTATTGTATTATGTAGAGGTTGGCAATAATCCTGTCCAAATTATATTCAAAAATAGAAGCATTTATGAAATACAGGCTACAACGGCTTGCCAAATTCCTTTGTGGTGTCGAGCAGACTGATAGCAGTAACTTGACTCCAGGTAGCTGCTAGTTCTGCTCCATACTGCTGCAGCTGCAGACATCCACAACTAAATAGGATTGTGGGAGTAATTCTGCACTTGTAGAGTTAATCATTCACAACCATTGTGTTTTTTTCAGAACGCCACTAGATTGTGAGCATGCTACGCACTAGCATTAGCCAGTATGTCCTAGTTTAACTCTTGATCTCAAACTGTGGACCGTTTGTGCCGTTTACAATGGTCTGTCTATGCTGATTTCTCTACTTTCCTCCACAGCACGTCAATCACCACGCTGTGCACCAGTAATGAGTAAGTGCAATGCGCTGTGTGTGTGTGTGTGTGTGTGTGTGTGTGTGTGAGAGAGAGAGAGAGAGAGAGAGAGAGAGAGAGAGAGAGAGAGAGAGAGAGAGAGAGAGAGAGAGAGAGAGAGAGAGAGAGAGAGAGAGAGAGAGAGAGAGAGAGAGAGAGAGAGAGAGAGAGAGAGAGAGAGAGAGAGAGAGAGAGAGAGAGAGAGAGAGAGAGAGAGAGAGAGAGAGAGAGAGAGAGAGAGAGAGAGAGAGAGAGAGAGAGAGAGAGAGAGAGAGAGAGAGAGAGAGAGAGAGAGAGAGAGAATTTAGCCAGTCACAGTTGGGAGACAGCACAGCTTAATTTGCATTCAGCCTGTTTAAACCTATGCCTCTCTGCACTGAGGACCCCATTCTCATCTACCGGTAAACTGCAGAGAAGATGCCTGAACCTGCCAAGTCTGCACCCAAGAAGGGCTCCAAGAAAGCTGTGACCAAAACAGCTGGAAAAGGCGGCAAGAAGAAGAGAAAGACCAGGAGGGAGAGCTATGCCATCTATGTGTACAAGGTGTTGAAGCAGGTCCACCCCGACACTGGGATCTCCTCAAAGGCCATGAGCATCATGAACTCCTTTGTCAATGACATCTTTGAGCGCATCGCCTCTGAGGCTTCTCGCCTGGCGCATTACAACAAGCGCTCCACCATCACCTCCAGGGAGATCCAGACCGCTGTCCGCCTCCTGCTGCCTGGCGAGCTGGCTAAGCACGCTGTCTCTGAGGGCACCAAGGCTGTCACCAAGTACACCAGCTCCAAGTAAACTGCTCTGTTCCTGATCACTCACCAACCAAAGGCTCTTTTAAGAGCCACCAACATCTTTCGGAGAGTGCCAGTCCATATCAGTGTTATTGTATTTTGATGATTATTACATAAAAGGATGTAAATCACACAAAATAGTTATGATAGTTTGTCTGGGGTGGAAATTAAAATCAAAGTATAATTATAATAAACCAGTGTCATATTGCTGCTTGCTTTATTTAAATGTGTTTTAAAGTTTTGTGTTATGGGTGAATAAAATATATTTCTTCTGATTAAACATATAAAGTGGGTCTGGAAAGTATTCAGTCATTTTTTCACTCTTAGTTAAATTGCAGCCATTTGCTAAAATATAAATAAATCCCAATGTACACACAGCTCCAAATATTAATGGAAAAACAATTTTAGAAATGCATTAAGAATTATTTTTAAAAAAGCCTTCACATAGTCCTAAGTATTCAGAACCTTTGCTGTGATACCATATTTAGCGCATATTTATTTATTAAATAAGTAAATTTATTATATATTTATTTCTCATTGATCAAACCATGAAACCTACTGTATTTAAGTATTTCTGTAGGTTTCTGCACATTTTAACATTTGTACATGAATAAAAGTCTTTGAATGTGTCTTATACTAATTTATTGAATCAAAAATGTTCATTTCAAAATCTTTGTTCATTTAAATGTTCTGTAGATAACGTTTCACTTAACCTCCAACTAAGTGTAAAACTATTAGGTTGAGCTATTGTAAAGCAGAAATCAATTTAAGGCCCTAATTACACATTCCAGCCTACTTTACTTTTTTCACCTTTTAGTAAGTTCTTACAAAAACTAGTTTTAATACAAGTGCCTCCTTTAGATTTATAGTAAATAAACGAAATTTCTCAAGACATTTGATTCATATCTAAAAATCAGTAAACAGGTGAAACTGAAAAAATTGAACCATGGTGAACCATTTCACCATATTTTAATTGAGATTTAGAATTTAGGGTGTTAATAAACAGTAAACCATAATTATAACTAATACAGATTGATATACCATATTTAGCGCAGGTGCTTTCCATTTCTTCTGATGCTTGAGATGATCCTACACCTTCATTGGAGTCCAGCTGTGTTTTATTATACTGATTGGACTTGATTAGGAAAGCCACACACCTGTCTTTTTAAGATTTTACAGCTCAGGCCAGAGCAAATGAGTCATGAGGTCAAAGGAATTGCAGAATTGTGGCAAAGTATAGATCTGGCCAGGGTTACAAAAGAAATCTGCTGCATTTAAGGTTTCTAAGAGCACAGTGGCCTCCGTAATCTTTAAATGGAAGATGTTTGGGATGACCAGAATCCTTTTTAGAGCAGGCTGTCTGACCAAACTGAGCTACCAGGGGAGAAGAGCCTTGCTGAGAGAGGTAAAGAACCCAAAGATCACCGTGGCTGAGCTCCAGAGATGCAGTCTGCAGATGGGAGAAAGTTGTAGAAAGTCAACCATCACTGCAGCCCTCCACCAGTCTGGGCTTTATGACTGCAATGATTTTTGCAGGGGGGAAAAATGTATTCCAATCTGTAATAATTACAAAATAAGATAATGAAAGGGTTTCATTTAACAACATAGTTGAGTTTTAAATTTATAAAATAAAACTGGGTTTGTTCCAATGATGCTGTTAAATTATATACGAATAATTTATTTTAAAATATGCAGAATGCAACACCCGTTTGGAAATATTTTTTTTTTCCTGACATGAAAGTTTTTGACTGTTAAATCTACAATCAAGGTTATATTAAATGTAGTAGACCAGGAGTCAGAGCCATAATTGCACTAACTGGCTAAAAATAAACTAGGTTTTTAATAAAAATAAATTAAAATGGGCAGTTGAGCAGCTTTTTATTTGAGTTTTTTTAATGGAATAATTTAATTAAAATTCTGCAACAGAACATTTTAATGTGTTTTTTTTTACAAATTTTTCAGCAAATATTAACACCTCAAACAAAAATATCCAAACTTTTTATGCAAGTTTTTAAAACTGACAACAAATGTCTTGTAGTGTATAAGCTTTTCCATTTGGACCACAACCTCTCACCACAGTACAATTTCTTCCCCTCTGTTGTTGGACTCGTGGATAACAATCCTAGAACTTCTCATTTTAGTGGCTTTGTTTATTTTTAAACCAGTTTCATATTTTAAAAATATTTGTTCTTGAGAAGCATGTCTGGCGATTTTTACCTTGAGAGTTGCTATATAAAAATGTTCCCCCTCTTTGATACTGCTCAACAATTATAGTCTTTATTTTAAAAGGTACTGCATCTGTTGTGGATCTAAATTATTTTTATTCTGTATTTTTTTAAAGGTTACAGACTCCTGAGATAGTTTCAGTAAAATACATTGAAGGAAGTAAATAAATACTCAGAAAAGTGATTCGTAATTGACTAATCCATCAATACCGATTAATGAAGTTAAATAAATACCGAGCAGCAATTATTTCAATTACAGTTCCAAATAAAAATAAACATTTAGTTTAACATTTATTTAAGTGTTGGAAAAGAAAAGAAAGGAAAGAATAACTTCTGTTTACTGTGGCAAACGCTGACCTCATGGTCGTGTGTTTGATGCTGCAACAATATCTTCATTTTATTTTAATATAACACACAGTAGCTGGATGCTTTATGTTCGAGTCTCTAAAACAACATGTAAACTAGCTTTCTGGCGTATTTTGATGAACGTGAGATGAATATAGAATAAATAACAGACGGAAAAGTGGCCGATCAACACTGAGCTCAGTGGTGATGCGGTGGAGTTTTGAAACTATAAGAACAAAACGCAGAAAGCAGCAGAGCTGAACATAAGCCGGACATGAAAGGACACTTGTTCGCTACGGACTCGTTCATTTTCAGCCTGCTGCAAAGCTCACAAGTTCTTATTTTTCCAGTTTTATGCCGAAGAGAAAGCACAAACAGAAGACGTCCATGTTGTCAAGAGGGAGCGTCGCCGAGAGTCGAGTCTCCACGGTTCTCATGGGGTGTTTAAGTACAGCCCGTTGCTCTGACCACCAACAGTTTAGTCTCTCGTCTGAGTTTATACACGAACGCAGGAAAAGAAGAAAGATGGCAGAAGTTGCTCCAGCTCCCGCCGCCGCCGCCCCGGCTAAAGCAGCCAAGAAGAAGGCCGCAAAGCCCAAGAAGACCGGTCCCAGCGTCGGAGAGCTGATCGTGAAAACCGTCGCCGCTTCTAAGGAGCGCAGCGGCGTGTCAGCGGCTGCGCTCAAGAAGGCTCTGGCGGCCGGAGGATACGATGTGGACAAGAACAAGGCCCGCGTCAAGACCGCCATCAAGAACCTGGTCGCCAAAGGAACCCTGGTCCAGACCAAGGGTGTCGGAGCCTCCGGATCCTTCAAGATGAGCAAAAATGTGGAACCTAAAGCAAAGAAGCCAGCAAAGAAAGCTGCCGCTCCCAAAGCTAAGAAACCCGTCGCCAAGAAGCCCGCTGCGGCCAAGAAGTCCCCTAAGAAGGTTAAGAAGCCGGCAGCGGCGAAAAAACCTGCAGCTGCCAAGAAGTCACCAAAGAAGGTGAAGAAGCCGGCTGCGGCCAAGAAGGCAGCCAAAAGCCCAAAGAAGGTCACCAAGAGCCCCAAGAAGGTGGTGAAGAAGGCCCCTGCAGCCAAGAAGACCCCAACTAAGAAGGTAGCGAAGCCCAAAGCCAAGAAGGCAACTCCTAAGAAGAAGTGAACTTTTCACTAAACCCCACAAAGGCTCTTTTAAGAGCCACCACATCATCCAAAGAGTGTATCCAATTTTTTAGTTATGAATTTAGGTTACTTAAATGCACTTTTGATACACACCAACGTGGCCTCAATCAGGGGTGTCAAACATGCGGGCTGGCGAGATGGTTGTGTAAACTTTATTTTCATACTTTACAATGTAGAGTGAAAATAAACTTATCGTGAGCAAGTTTTCTCTAATGAGTATAGATGCAACAAAGCTGCGCTCAAGGCTCACAAGAACTTGAATCACATCCTGAAGATGGCCGCCACTCAGGATGTGACTTCTGATATTGATGTGCTGGTGAAAGTTAAAAGATGTAAAGTAAAATGAGTCAAATATACTTTAAGTATATATCCTTCAGATTATTTTACTATCCTTTTATTATAGTTTTTAATACTTATTCAGTATGCTTATGGATATGTGTGTGTGGGTATGTATATATGTATATATATGTGTGTGTGTGTGTAAATGAACATGTGTGTGGGTATACATGTTCTTATGTGTTTTTAGGCATTTTTATTCTCATTTATTGTGGTTGTTGTATTTTTTAGAGAGCGAACATTTACCGAAGACAAATTCCTTGTAAATGTACTTTTACTTGGCCAATAAATCTGAAATCTGATTTGCTTTCTTCAGGCAGCTACATGTATATTTAGAAAAACTACAAGTTTATTTTTGAACATTTGCATTGTTAGCATTTCTAGAGCTGTAAAAATCTTCATATGTACATACGTAACATGATTTGCACATTTGCACAGGTTGAGCTATTGTAAAGCAGAAATCAATTTAAGGCCCTAATTACACATTCCAGCTTACTTTACTTTTCTCACCTTTTAATAGGTTCTTACAAAAAGTAGTTTTAATACAAGTTCCTCCTTTAGATTTATAGTACATAAAAGAAATTATTTTTCTCCTTATATTTGATTCAAATCTAAAAATCAGTTAACAGGTGAAACTGAAAAAAACTGAGCCTAAGTTGGTTTAATTTGCTGGTTAGTGACATAATTGAACAGTTTCACCATATTTTATTAGATTTAGAATTAAGGGTGTTAATAAACAGTAAACCATAATTAACTAATACAGACTTAGCATGGATAGTTAAGTGTCTCAGTTTTGCCTTGAGAATTTGCTAAATAAAGTAATTCAACAAGAAAATAACTTGATAAAGTTGCTCAACTTTGAGACCAGCATTTAATTACAATGCATCGATCAGGAAAAAAAGCTTTTCGAGAGGAGTGGTTGGCTCTTAAAAGAGCCGTTGTGGGGCTGCTGATCAGCGGTTTGAGGGCCTGAAGCTTTACTTGGCCTTCGCGGGTTTCTCGGTCTTCTTGGGCAGCAGCACCGCCTGGATGTTGGGCAGCACACCGCCCTGAGCGATGGTCACGCCGCCCAGGAGTTTGTTGAGCTCTTCGTCGTTGCGGACAGCCAGCTGCAGGTGGCGGGGGATGATTCTGGTCTTCTTGTTGTCGCGGGCGGCATTTCCAGCCAGCTCCAGGATCTCAGCGGTGAGGTACTCGAGCACAGCCGCCAGGTAGACGGGGGCTCCGGCTCCAACGCGCTCGGCGTAGTTTCCTTTCCGCAACAGCCTGTGGACACGACCCACCGGGAACTGGAGTCCAGCACGGGATGAGCGGGTCTTAGCCTTAGCTCTGGCTTTGCCTCCGGTCTTTCCACGTCCACTCATGATTGCGTTTATTCTTCCTAGAAGCTACGTTCAAGAAAAGATGCGTCTCTGCGCCCAACAGCCTGCTTATATGTACGCACACAGCGGGAGAGACTTAAGGCAACCAACCAGCAAAGCCTACAGCAAATGAGCGGGGTGTTTGAACCAGCGTTCTTCCAATAAACAGCGGACATTCGGGCGGGGAGCTTCACGAGAAGGCGCTAGCCAATCAGGGGCTGAAGTCAAGAGTAACGTCACCGTGCCGGGCTGTATAAATTCAGCGCGTCTGCGCTTCGAAGTTTATCTTACCTCATCTGGAGAGAAGATACGGAACAATGGCAAGAACTAAGCAGACTGCTCGTAAGTCAACTGGTGGCAAAGCCCCGAGGAAGCAGCTGGCCACAAAGGCGGCAAGAAAGAGCGCTCCAGCAACCGGCGGTGTGAAGAAACCACACCGTTACAGGCCCGGTACCGTGGCGCTCAGGGAAATTCGCCGTTACCAGAAATCCACCGAGCTGCTTATCCGGAAGCTGCCCTTCCAGCGCCTCGTCAGGGAAATCGCCCAGGACTTCAAGACCGACCTGCGCTTCCAGAGCTCTGCCGTCATGGCGCTGCAGGAAGCCAGCGAGGCTTACCTGGTGGGTCTGTTCGAGGACACCAACCTCTGCGCCATCCATGCAAAGCGAGTCACCATCATGCCCAAAGACATCCAGCTGGCACGCCGCATCCGCGGAGAGAGGGCTTAAACTTCTGTACCTCTAAGAAAAACAACGGCTCTTTTAAGAGCCACTCAATACTGCACCAAAGAGCTTAACCATGTGGAAAACTCATCCAGCTCTAATGACGGCAAAATAATTGGTGGAAAATAGAAAGTTACATATGATTACTCTGCAAACCAAAACTTTTATGCAATAGCATTTGATGCACATGTGTTCTCTGATGTGTGAAACTTGTTTAGCTGGTAGTAGCATCCCTGCAACACTGACATTGCAGTACAATATTGTGTGAAATACTTCATGCAATTTGAGTTGTACACTGTTCCCCACCTCCTCCTCCATATACTGCATAGTTCTGGAAATCACATCTAGTTTTGTCGTTTTTGCTGGTTACAGTAAAAGTTGATGCGTTTATCTGTAATCTAATGTAGTGATGGGGATTCCGGCTCTATTTTTAGAGAGCCGGTTATGGCATTAGATTTGTGCCAATAAGATCAAGAAGAACATATTGGAGATCAACCAAATTTTAAGACATTGAGAGAAAAACATTTGTTTCAAAAGAAGAACTTATGATCTGAATCAGATTCTTAAAATGATCAAGAAAAACACTGACGCTCAAACAAAAATTAAGAAATTGACAGAACAAAAATATTGACTAAAGGAAAAACGTGTTTCAAAAGTAACACTTATCTGAATCAACTTCTTAAAATGAGTGACAAAGTATGTTTCCTTTTTCTGTTTGCCTTTATGTGTTTTTGTTATCAATTTCCTTAGTTTCGTTCTCGCTGCTCTCACCCAATTTAGTGCTTTCCAGTGTGCAATGGAGGCTCTAACTAAACCAGTGCCTATATTTAAATTATAGGCTCAATCAGAATGCTTTTTGTCATAATTCCTGTCTTGATCTCATGATTTCACACACCAACTGAATCTTCTTATTTCTTTGTAATAAGAAAATGACATTAACAACATGGTTTAATTTGATTGGTTGGTTCACAAATTAGAATAGAACTAAGTTGAGGAGGTTTTGCCTGAACTGGACACTGTAGTGATATCTACTTGAGTATTTTCTTTTGAGTACCTTGACCCTTTAACATAAACAGCAGATAAAATGAGACTGCCAGAATCAGGGTTTGTTTACATATTGTGCTGTGTACTGTCCTTCAGCTGAGTTAATCAACTTTAACTTTAAAGTAAAATCAATATTTCTTTGACACTCTCTCGACCAAGCCTGTGATATGTCTTCAGACTCAGAGTGGTCAAGCTATTCTCTAGTTTTGTCTTCGAGGAGAACCAGCAATGTTCCTGGAGAACGAGATCTGTGAATAGAATAGAAACAACCTTTATTGTCCCTCAGTGGAAATTCACTTGAAACAAGGTTAACAGGGGGAAATAACGGCTGTTTATTAGATAAATAAACATGTAAAAAAAACATGCCACATTTTTCATAAAATATGCCGCATTTAGAAAAATGCGTAGTGAACTATTTAAAATATTTACGTGGGGTTTTGTTTAATCTTAGTGCAGTATAAACCTTTTCCTGACACCGCTAGATGGCGGTAAAAGAAAAATCTCTACCAGAGGAAGTCCCAGAAGAAGGCAGCAGCCCGTTTTCTAACACGTCCTCGGTTGTGGCATAAAATGCCTTCACGCCACCTCACCACATCATTTCAATTGCTTAAGTTTGTCTTCAACTGTACAACATGTCAGGAAGAGGAAAGGGAGGGAAAGGTCTCGGAAAAGGAGGTGCCAAGCGTCACCGTAAGGTGCTCCGTGATAACATCCAGGGAATCACCAAGCCCGCCATTCGCCGCCTGGCTCGCCGCGGTGGAGTGAAGCGTATCTCCGGTCTGATCTACGAGGAGACCCGTGGTGTGTTGAAGGTGTTTCTGGAGAACGTGATTCGTGACGCAGTCACCTACACCGAGCATGCTAAGAGGAAGACCGTAACAGCCATGGACGTGGTGTACGCTCTGAAGCGGCAGGGTCGCACTCTGTACGGTTTCGGCGGTTAAGTTCTACTATTGCTCAACGGAAAACGGTCCTTTTAAGGGCCACACACACTGCTTAATGAGCAACTATCCACACGACTCAATAATGGGTTTAAGTTTAAATACGAATTATACACGTCACTTAACACCATCTAGGCTTAGTACAGCTTTTTATCACATTTAGGAACTCTGCATTTTTATTAGCCTGGTGAGGGAAGATTTACTCACAATGGAGCTCTCGATCAAACTTGGCATAGCAAGAATTTGACTAGGCTAGCACTGTTTACAGTGTTCTAGTGATGGGAATTCCGCCTCTTTTATGGAGCCAGATCTTCCGGCCCAGCTCACCAAAAAGAGCCAGCTCTCTCGGCTCCCAAGTGGCTCCTCAGATTTTCTGTTGTGTAGAGTACATTTTATAACCAACATAATGCAAAACCATATAAAATATCAAATATTTATCATTTCTATAGATTTAATAACTGAACACTTTCCGACTGCTGGCACTCATTTTCTCAGTTGTTGCACTCTCCTCCCTCTCACTCGTCTTTTTCCTCCTCCTCATTCCCTCTTGTCTCCTTCCACCTGCATGTTTTATGTATTTAGCAGATGCTTTTGTTTAAAGCGACTTACAAGCATGTGTTCCGCTGTGTGTCTGACTGATTCACCCTCTTCCCTGCCCCTACTGCTCTGTGTATGGACAGTCTGGACACGCAGTTACACACGCCTGTAGCGTTCATCAAGCAAGAGGGGAGGGGACGGCTCCCAATGACGAGCCGGTGGCTGTGTCCGAATCCAGGGGTAGGATGCTTGTGAGTACGGGTCCCCGCCGGTCTAGCAAGACCGGGTCCTTGCTAGACCGCTAAAACCGGAAGTCAGCGGCTCTGAATTCGGACAGTACTAGCCTCGTTTTTATTCCCGCCCCCAGGTCCAGTTGCTTAGCTACCGTGACAGCGGCAAACAAGCTGGGAAAATGGATCCAGAAATCTGTTGTCTTTTCCTGTCATACGTATTAGGTAATGACCTGCTTAATCTCCGTCGCCGACGTTATTTTTAAGGCTGAGAAGCAGTCATATCCAGGTATTTATGTTTTAAGCAATTGAAAGACCTGTGGCTAAAAGTACAAATTACTATAGAACATACTAACAAGTAGATAAATAATATTGCCCAAATAAATCTTAATTACTAATAAAAATTGATTTGATCTTCATGCTTCTTTGTGTGCATAAAGTTTGTATTCTGCATAAAATAGCATTGAGATATTAATGTTCATTGTCCTTTTCATCTTAAGCCTAATGCCTGTGTCTCTTTTTAAAAAGCATTCATTCAAACATTGTCACAGGCAGTTTGTGACCATCAGGGCCGCTTTATTGACACCTATGTGGGCTGGCCTGGGTCGGTCCATGATTCCAGGGCGCTCTGCCATAGCCCACTGTACAAGCAGTCAGCCTATCCTCCTCCAGGACACTTCATCCTCGCAGATGGAGGGTACCCCTGCCTCCAACATCCACTCCCCCTCATCACCCCCTACAAACGGGTGGTTCCAGGTGTGGGAGCCCAGCGCTTCAACAGCCGTCATTCCAGGGCACGCTGCATCATAGAGTGTGCTTATGGAATGAAGAAGACCAGGTTCAGGTCAATCTTCCTGAAAGCGCTGGAGGTGCACCACACCTTTGTACCTCATGTAAGTTAACACACAGTGGAAAGAAATGTTGGATGTATTCTTTGATTTACAATTAAATATGTAATTATGTTTTGTCTGTATTCCAGGTCATCACAGCATGCACCATTCTGCACAACATCTGCCTCAGTGCTGGTGACATTGTGCCGCAGGAGGATGAACCTGAGGATGATGTTGCAGAAGATGAGGGGGAGGCTGGCTTGCACTGTGGTGGGACCAACTTGTTGCTGAGGTGGCTGCTCTGGAGGAGGTACCACCAGACCACGATTACTGTTAGCAGGCAAGTAATTTATGTAGGGATCTATGATTTATAAAAGCATTGTCTTTTGATCTGCTAGTTACACGTATTATATTAATAAATCCATATATCTCCTTTTGCATATATCTGAATGTTAGTGATGTGACAGCCGTTGATTGAGCCAGCCCAGCAAACCCTTTGGATGGACGATGCAGTGGACAGTGAGACGATGCATCCAGAAGCACCCTCTGCAGACCTCCCTGTGTGATGTTCCACTCTCCAACCAGAAAAGTCCAGGCACTGGTCTCGGTTCCAGCACTCCATCCCATCTCAGGGATCCATGTGCTACAGATTTATCACCACCAAAGACCTCCTGTTTACCAAATTCAAATAAACGGTCCAGGAAATGTCACTCAGGTTAATCCTGCTTTAAATGCACATACTTGTTATATTGTTATCTTCAAATGATTTCTATGTATTACTGTTTCCCCTCACCATTAATATATCCTGTTGTTACGTAAAAAAAATCTGAATAATAATAAAACCGTTAAAATGATCCGAAAGGAGTTATCAATTAATAGACATTGTATTACATTTAATCAAATGTCAAATACATTCCAAAACAAAACATTTTATTACATTCCAAAAAATATAGAATTTAATAACATTCCAAAAAATATAGAATTTAATAACATTCCAAAGAATATGGAATTTAATAACAAATATCTCGAATCCGAACAAAAACTAATTTAAATTAAACTATTTCTCCACCATTCTCTCAGGGCTAGAAATCTTTCCATCATCCTTTCTCTCCTCTCCTCCGCTTCCCTCTGCTGTCTGATGTCCTCCCTGATGATGTCAAGGAGTTCATCATCCCTGCTGCTCTTTCTTTTTCGTCCTGATGTTGTCGGCTGACTCTCACCACTCTCTCTCTCATCTGTGTCCCCCACTGCTGCTCTTGGCCCTGGTGTGTCCTCAGGGATGGAGGCAATCAGAACCGGAGGACTAGTGGAAGGCCTCTGTCCCAACACCTCATCCATGAGACCAAACCAGGGCCAGTTTTCAGCAGTGGGCTTTCCGCTGACTCCCTCTCCCGACCCTGCATACTTGCAGTCCTACAGACAAAGGAAATTGGAGTTACAAGGCTTTATTGTCATTTAACAACAGAGACCACTGTGGGCATAATGGAATTACAGATGCTCCCCAAAGGTACAGGTTCTGGGAGAGTAAGGGAATAGAGAGGAATAGAAGAACGAAGTCAAGATTATAGATCATAGCTGATACAACATGCAATAAACAATATTTTAATTTATCAACATGGGAGATGGATATTGTCATCTGTACCACACGTGTGCATACTTTGTACTTCATTTTTAGGTTGTCCCATTTTTTTTTTGGCCTGCAAAGGGGTGATTTTCCCCTGCAGGCCCATCTTCTCCAGGATCATCCTAAATAGATGATGAGGATAACAATAGCAGAATGGAAACATGTCAACTTCATTAATAAAATAATGGTGAACTGTACCTTTCACAGCAGAACATGGATGGAAATACTATGCTCATATAATGTGTAATGGATTTACTCCTGTACCTCCATGCCACCGTGGCAGAATTCTTAGCACCAGTGAAGAGGGCATCGTTTTGCCCTCTCAATTTGATGAGGGTGGTGGTTTGTTCTGGTGTCCCTGGCACAAAAGATATTTATATATTAGCGATGAGACAGTCAAGCTAGTTCACGGTGAGTTTCTTTTCCACCTAAAATGAAATTAAAACAAAGAATCAGTAATGTGGTTTCTTACAAATTAACTGGAATAAACATACAAATTAGTTTTCGTTAGTTTTGGCGTTCATTACATGATCTAATAACATGCAAGCTCTTTTACGGTGAGATTCTTCCTATTAAACATTCAAGCAAGGTTACAGTGGGGTGTTAACCTAACAACTGATGAGAAGCGTTATTCGCTAAATAAACACACACAAACGAGAATTATGACGGGACCACCATACAAGCTCGTTCTCGCTGATTTCTGCTTGAAATGTACTTTATACAAATGACAATTGTCTATAAACAGAACCGCTTTCAGCTTAGTTTTCTGCCGCTATTGTATTTTTTAACAGGATTGCCAGCTGGGATTAAGCTACGGTGGGGAATGTTTTAGCCTTAAATTACATGAAATGTACAATTTGCGGTATTAGATCTTATATACAAAATAAACCACTAATGGCCAAACACGTATTTTATGTTTTTGACCGCTATTTTATTTAATAACTTACATTTGAAGCTGTACTGCTCTCCTGCTCCGTCCGCCATTGTTGAGAGTGTCGCGACCAGCGGCCGGCGTGCAAAGCATGCTGGGATACCCTTGCTCCTGTGAGGATCCATCAGACCCATCCTCGAAATGTGGGTGGAGCGAGGACGCGTTTGAGGACGCGAGAATGAGGATACTTGGAATTCGGACAGTACTCGTCGCCGCGCTGTGACGTAATCGACCTCAAAATGCACACTCACAAGCATCCTACCCCTGGATTCGGACACAGCCGGTGTCTGTACAAGATCTGCTCGGGTGCAAAATTGGCTCGGGGTCCGTCGACTGCCGATGACTTCAAAGTAGTTGATTGGTTGAACATGAACCTTGCGGAATTACGTAATCACGTTACGTTGTTATCACGTTACGTTGGTCCAGGCAAATCTTTGTGCTGGAAAGATGGACAACTTTTACAAAGAAATTCATCATTACCCCTTTGAAAATGCACTTTTAGCATAGAGCTGCATGTATATTAAGGCTGAACGATTAACTGCATGCGCAATTAAATTGCGATGTGACAAAAGGAGATTTTCTAATAGCAAAGGCTGCAATTTGGCAGCAAGTGGTTAGCGCAATGCTAATATACATAGAAAAACCCATAGGAATGCTAATGCTAATATCGCCGATTACATTATTACAAATTATGAATAAGAAACGTGCCAAATGATTACATTTGGAGTCTAATAGAAAGTAAAACTACCATCAATCAAATAAGTACAGACAGGTATTTTAGTAAAGCCAGAAAACTTTTAACTCCAGAGTTTTGGCTAGCAGCTATGAGCGTAACTGAACTACGCATGGACAAGACGTCAAAAACTAAACACAAAATACTTCAATAAACGGGACACACTTCTTTCCTGCAAATTCAGTTTCACAGGTTTTGCTAATACCTATGATTCTTCAAGGGATGTGCTCAAAGAGGAGTTCAACATTATGAATAAAATATAGTGTTTTATTTTACAAATACCATTATAAACACAAACTTACGTCTTAAGAAACATTATTTTAATAACGAAACTGCTAAATTATTTCCAACAGTATAGATTTGTAGTGTATTTTGTCCGAGTGGGTTTGCCGTACTTTGACATCATCGGCAGTCGAAGGACCCCAAGCCGATTTTGCACCCGAGCAGATCCTGTACCGACACCGGCTCCCGTTGTCTTAGAGCCGGTTCGTTCGCGACCGACACATCACTACAGTGTTCAACTACCTTCTGTCAAGGGCTGATATCCGTGATTTACTGTTTTTTCTGTTGAAACACACCTGCTTTTAATCAGGGGTGATTTACTTGCTTCTACAGAGCCAGACAGCTGCTGAACTGGTCAATCAAGTGTGCTGGATTAGAGAAACTACTAACTGGATACCTGCCCTTGGGGAAGAGGGCTGGGATCACAAGGACACAAAAGTAGGTACAAAGCAGCTGCTTCTACACATCAGCTCTGAGACTGGTCTCTGCTGAATCCTGGGGTCTGAATGTGAAAGGAAATATAACCTTAAAAACCTGACAAATATAAATATTCGCGATCGTTTAGGAGAAATGATCACAATTGAATGGATATTTTAAACAAGCTTTTAGTGTGAAGATGTGCCTAAAGTTCTCTCTTAACACCTGATTTTAATCATTGGATGACTCAAGAGAGACCAGGCAGTTTTAGCTTGTTTTAGGCACCCTATAGTGTCTGTGTAGTAGATCCAAAGCTAAAACCTATGCCCTTGCTGTCTGTTTACTGTTTGGAATAAGGAAACAAAACGGGAAAATGTGACTTTTAAAATAAACCAGAGACAATAAAACATGTTTATTTTAAGACACAGGATAAGGAAAAGTACACTGTTCACACATTGCAATTAAGAGAACGCAGCAGCGAGATGAGCTTGTTTCCTTCCAGATCAAAACCTTCACAAAGATTTACTGAGGCGAAAAATTAGAATGTCTTAAAAAATCTCAAACACAATAAATGCCTCAAGTGTTGAGCAGTGTTGGAGGTAAACAACGCTGACTATCGTTATAAATGCTGACAAGTAATTCTAGGCTGGGTAATGGTCCAGCTCATCACTAAGGGAATACAAATAGAAAAAAGAGGAAGTAGTGAAAGTAGATCGTCTTACTGAAGAAAATGCTGTCCGTCATTACACAAATGTACAACTAGTCAACTTCAACGAGTCTCCAACCACGATTCTCGGAGGCTCCTTTCAGTACGTTTAAGTGGTCTTATTCAGTTATTTATTAGCTGTTGTAAAACTTCGTTCATTTCTGCCACCAACTGGGAAAGAGTATGGATTAAGACTCTAAAATCTCAGAAGGGACAAAAAGCTCCGGTGCGCCTGTTTGAGGATGCAGAAGTTGGCCGGAGGAAAAGGTAGATCAAATGGCAGGATGTAGTTTTATTTCCTGATATTTGGACATCTTGGCTGTGATTGGCTAACAGCAACACAACTCTACCACTGACTCTGTGTGCTTTGCAACTCTGATGTTTTATCTCTACAAATAACACAAGCCTGGAGGAGTTTTGCTTTGTTGTGGAATTGTTGATGTTAACAGCTTCTAGCAGAGGCATTCTCTGCTGTTTCCTGGACGCTAAACCGACCACAGCCTTCCCCATCGTGAAGAGTTTCCTGCTCCTCTGCCCTACTGGTTGAAAATGGAATTACAACTGTCATAAACAGCCCTGTAACAACCTGCTGTAGATAATGCTAACAACAAGCTAATGCTAACATGAGCCAAGTTTTACTAAAAAGCCACAAATTAAAAAGATTCACACTGTTGGCCAAAAATAATATTTACAAATCCAGTAGCAACAAAGCCAGGTCACCATCAGCCAGTGATTTCATTGCCTCCTTCAGCTTTCACAAATGACTGTAGGTTGTGTTGATTTTTACTCTGGTTTTAGCTTTCCCTTCACCTTCCAGGCTCCACCATAAGGCCAAAATAAAAGCAAACTTGTGTTTTCTTCTTGTGTTTTTTAGTGATGGTTAGCAAACTGAAAAAGCTAATTGTTTGCCTTTTGTTAGCTACCAGCACAGAAAAGCCCCTCCCAACGATGCCTGCCTACCCGTTCCACAAAACCGTTTAAAGAGGTGGTTGACATTTTAAAATATTTGTTCTGATCATAATCAGTCATTTTGAGTTTTTCATGCAGGCTGATCATGAACATAGTCTCCTACACCTATCTCCTGCATTAGCTTCTGATAGAAAATAGACAGTGAAACTCTAGAATTAGAAAATAATCACATATCAACGTCACACTATGAAT